ATCCAAGCAGAAAAAAAAATCTGGGAATTTTTTTTTAAGAGTCAGGGTCTCACTCTGTCGCCCAGGCTGGAGTGCAGTGGTGCAATCACAGCTCAGGCTGGTCTCGAACTCCTGAGCTCAAACAATCCGCCCGCCTCAGCCTCCCAGAGAGCTAGGATTACAGGCGTGAGCCACCGCGCCCGGCCAATATTTACCACATTTCTTTATTTAAATCCCTAGGTGTGGAACTACTGAGTTAAAGCATGTAATTTTTTATCAACATCTTTAATAGCACTAGACTGCATATAAAATTTATATATATTATTTATGTATATTATGTGCAAATGTTTATGTGTTATCTTACTTGATCATTGTGATAACCATGCATGTGCTTATCAATCCCAGGAAAGCAGCACAGAACACCAAGTGATGACTACCCACACCTGGGGAGGACTCCCACTATATAGAATTTAGCAAAGATCATCACTGTGCCAATCACCAGGAATAGAAGTTCAAACCCGTCTGCCTGTTGCACTTTGGTATCGGAGTTGCACGAAACAAAATAGTCAAGCAATGGATGGAGCAACGCTTTTCTTACAAAGAGACAGGACGGCAAGATCAGCTTCGGTAGTGCGTGTCAGTCCCTCATGGCCGGCAGTTCTTTCCCGGCAGCCAGTGCAGGGCACCTCGCTATGTGCACCCCTCTCCTGCTGCAATAGAAGGACCCTGTCCCCTCCCCATGGAGGACAGATATAGCCAGGTGCCATGTGACACACAAGGTTAAGCAGAATTTGTTCTACCTCCATAACTTCCTTAACTTTTTCAAATTTTTAAATATGTTTTAGGAAGACCTCCTCATCCTTCAGTGGAAATTGTTTTCCAGATTTAACATATTTTGATATTTTAAATATAAGGACTGTGTTGTGAAACATTTTGTATGGCACCATTCTTAGGTATAAATGGAGTTCTGGAAGGATAAACAAGAAAACTTTAACAGTCGTTAATTCTATGGAGTAGAACTAGGTGAAGTGCAAAGGAGTTTTGAAACATTCTATTTGTACCCTACTGTGGATATGAAGTTTTCATAAGGTGCATTCATTATTGATTTTTTTCTTAAATAAAATCAAAGAAATTACCAACTTCTGTGGAAACGTTTGGAGACTGAAAGGGAAATCCATTGTAGAATCTAATGGGTTCAATACTATGTGCAATTTGTCAATATATCTCTAAACATCCCTTCTGCCTTTTTCTGCAAACCTGATTATGCTCCTGGAAGGGTGATTTTTGTCTGGTGTGTGTGACTGAGTGAGAGGAGTAAGGTCATTTAGTTTTGTTTCAAGAGTGATTTGATGGATGGGATAAGGAGGGAAGTGAAGACAGTGCCAGGAAGATGATGCCAATGGACATGAACATGACAGGTACAATAAATTCGAGGTAGAATGACAGTATGGAAAATGACTGACAAACTTCAAATCAGCCACACGTGGTGACCCTTCTATTGGAAGGCTGAGGTGGGAGGATCACCTGAGCCCAGGAGTTTGAGCCCAATCTGGGCAATATAGCAAGACCCCTCCCCCATCTCTTAAAAAAACAAGAAGAAAACAAACTTCAGATCAAAATAGAGCTTTCTGGTTGTCTATATTGATGCCTCAGGGATGGGATAGAGTCAAAGATGAGATCCCGGTGTCTGCCATACAAACTATTTGGTAATCCAAAATAGTTTTGTAGTTTTATGTTAAAAGTTATGAATACATTATTCTTCCATCCCTTTTCTTTTTTACCTCATCTTACTTCCTTTTATATTCTTACCTCCTTCAACTCAGAGAGTTCATCGTAGTCTGCTTTCTTGTATGTTAAACCAAAGCCTTTCTATTCATTCTTTCCTCTCAGTCTACAAACATGTTCAGTTCCTTCTGACCCTAAAAACAAAACCTGCCCTGCCTTGCCTCGCCTGCCACTAGCGACTCCCCCAACTCCTGTTCACATACTCTTTCCTTTTCGAAGTTTGATTGCATTTCCCTCTTGGCTATTTTTGGTGCATATTTCAAACAAATTGGATTCATACTGTATGTATAACTTTCTTTTAAATGAACACCAAATCAGGCATATGTTCAAATCATTTTGGGGGCTTTTTTTGGGTATTTTTTTTTAAGAGATAGGGTCTTGCTATGTTGCCCAGGCTGGTCTTGAACTCCTGGACTCAAGCAATCCTCCAGCCTCAGCCTCCCATTAAACCAGTATTGCTTAACAACATTACGGCTGCACATTAC